TAAAGATGTTATTAGTTGCTGTTTGTCTTTTTAAATTAATTAGAGATAATAAGGTAATGACTTATCGAAATAGCTGCGAGGTACCAAACTCTGTTTGGAGAATTAGCTTGTAATTGACGCTGTAATGGTCATGTTTGGAAGTAAATTAGATCATATAGGAATTATGTAATGAATGGATGACATAATGCATCGCTTTAATAAAAAAAAACTATGGCTACGGAATTATACCTACGTAAGTAATTTATATAAAAAAATCTGACCAATACATGTATGTACCTCTTCGTGACATCATTAAAAAATTAATACCCTTAAATATTAAACCGTGGCCTTTTTAATATCGGTAATATTTCCGACACATGTCGACTTTTATGTAATGGAATAATTAACCTCGATTATTATTGGGTCATGATTTAATTACAAAACTTATCAATGCGACCGATTCGTGCCTCCGAGACCCTCGCGGTTTATAGGAAGCTTTTAGTCCGGTCGTGCAGCTTTAAAATTGCAATTAATAAGCTAATGTTTATAAAAAAAAATAACTCATTTCCTACATCATCATCATCGTGTGCACTTAATCTGAAGAAAAAAAAAATTATTAATAATTCTTTCACGATTACCTAGCTAATATGTGGTTGTAAAAAAATGTTCAGTGTGTTTTTTTTAGATTCTGTCCCGTTCGACAGTTAGTTACTGAACGGAAAAAGGTTTTATTACTATTATTCTCTATACTCATATACATGTATACGTTCATTCATATTTTACTTAACACATAATTACCTACTTACATAATTTACTTTAATCTTGGCACCATTGAACTTTACCTACATACAAGTTGCAGCATTTTATCATCAATTTCGGCTTCACCTTTTCACAGTTCAACCAAAAGTTACAAATATAGTCAACAGTCAATGGTCAAGTTCTTTGTGAATTCAGAACGCAAAGAGGTTACCTAAGATGCTTTATCTTTTGTCAGAACGAACGTCACCTCATATTTTAAAGATCTTCCAGCAAACTGTTTAGCAATGACGCTTCATATCGATAAAGTTGAAGGTGTACAGTAGAAGGTGCCACCGAATCTGATCAAAAGTAAGTGTCTCAATGTCGATCCCTTCAATTAGGAGAAGACACGAGAACAAGGAGTGACATTAAGGACATTCTTTAGATACAAGTAGTGTTCATCTTTGCCCAGACCAAGGCAGCAAATAAATAATTCTAAGGAAATAGTGATCTTCAGTAATATAGGTTCTTAGTTCAGTCATCTTGACTTGACACGGCCTAGTGCTCCGTGCAGCACCATCGGATAATTTATCGTCCCTCATATCAGATGTCATCTTGTCTACATCCTGCGTCTTTTTGCTTACCTTGTGTCACTTGCGTGTGCAATTACATTTTTTATTGTTACGTCGAGTACGACGACCACTCATTTATATAGTCTTCGATCGTTATTGGTTAGTTTTACATTTAGTTATGTCCTAAAGACCTGAATAATGTGGACCTATAGAATGATCACGTTTGACCATACATTGCGTCGGAGGCATCAACTCGTCTACTAAACGCTACAATCCAAGTACAAACCCAATAATAATACGCTTGTACTTTGTATCTTTTATGACATGACCAACAAGACCTCTTTATTAATTTTATGCAAGATTTTACGATTTTCATGAATATTAGCGATGCGCCTGCGACGGTCCTTCGCAGACGCATGTTGCAGCCTACTGCCCGAGGTCGCGGACGTGAGAACGCACTCGTTTGCATGACATCATCTTACTGCAACGGTTTAAGGTGACATTTCCGCGCAATCAGTAACGTGAGGAGAAATTTAAAAAAGTCAAAAGGGATGTATGTATCTGATTCATTGGAATTTTTTTGTAAAATGGATGAAATGATGAAGCATCCGAGATAAGCCGTGTTATAAGAGTAGAGGACATGAAGTCGATAACGTTATTAGCTGAAAAAAAAACAATGTAAACGAGAGAGACAAAGAGGCGTTTGTCTCTCTAGTTTCGCCTATTCTAAAATTACCAAATGCTATGACTTCATACCCATAGCAACAAAATATCTGTGCACATAGCCTAGGTACATTTTATTAACTATAGTCGATAGATTTGCTAAGCCAACATTTTCGTTCCTACATTAATAAAATTACAGCTCATTAAAATGCAAAAGAAAAAGGTTTAAAGCAAAGCATCTGTCGCATACAAGATGCCTTAACACAACCAGTTTGGACGTAATGTCGGTAACATTAAGCCAGGCCACCGTGCTCCACATACGGACCTCATTTCTGAAAAAACTTGCGTAAGGTCAAGTCGACCATATTAATTTGACAGGTCAATCAAGTTATTTCGGGTAAACCAATGTTTACAAAGGCTCTGCGAAGTTGCGGTCATTGCATCATACGGTGTAATAAATAAGTACATAGTATTGTTATGCTGTCTTCATTTTTTGAAAAGCCGTGTTTGAATGGCATACTTTAATTTGGGAAAAAATCTAGACACGTTACTACTTACATGTTAACGATATTACTATCTGGTAAATGAGTTATTTGAATGAAACGGTAAATAGATATGCCTATACAAATAAAGTTTTACGTAATTGTATCTTAATCAAATGGCCATATTCCAAACTAGACCAAATTGGCCAGGGTTTATTGGAAAATACATTATCTAAACTCGGAAAAACACAAAATGAGGAGATTTTTATTTGGACTTATTGATGAAACAGTTTTAGTTTATATAGATAAGCATGACAGAATACTATCATACTATTAAACTAACATAATAATGAACCAAAATAATGATTTTGGTATTTAGTTACTTTGGTACATTATATCTTTATTCAAACAATTTTATTAATAGCTCTAGTTTGTCTTGAGACAAAAATAGTAGGTATGACTTAATCGTATCATGTCATAATCTAAACAAATCATAAAGAATCATTGTCATAATGATATCACGACATCTGACAATTAATATTCATTGCAATAACATAATATTTACCGTGGGAATAAACGTAATGTAATATATTTTGTAGTAGGTAGCCACACCTAATCTAGACGGTATAAAACCTTTTTTAAGTTTCCGTTCAAGCCAGCATATACTTAGTCTATGGTTTTCCTCCATTAATTTTAAAGAACGTGTTCGCGCCTTTTCTGGATATTGATTACCATTTTAAAATTCGTTTAGAATCAATTTTTTTTTCTTATTTCCTTCCTTAGCTTTTTTATATGCGAAGCGTAGGCTTTTTTGCTTTTATAGAGTCAATAATTGACGAATCTATTAAACTTTGATTGCTCTAAATAATTACGACTAAACGATTAACCTACATTCGATTTAAAATTAAACGTCTTAATATTAAACAAGTTTATTTTTTCATGTTACAACGTTATATGTATGTACACAAAGCACCGCTAATTAGTTCGTAACGCTCACATCGACACTACTGTCATTTACACAATGTACATGAGTGGGAAATTTAATATTACTGTGTATAAAAATATTCGTCCACCACGTTCACATTGGTATTTTCATTCTTGTGTCGGTATACGTATTTTTATAATTTAATGCATGGGTAAGGTTAAAACTATTTACAATCATTGATATGACCCGACATTTTCACTGTAATTATCGTAGTGCTCGTGGTCGATTGGTTAATGAGTACGCTTTTATCGTCTTTCAAGGATCAATGATGATGTGGGTTCTATTCCAGCTAAAAGTTTTTTTTTATTTTACCTTGTTGTTTTTCTTATTTATTTTTTTTTTTTTTTTTTTCATATAATATAAATATCAGGCTATAAAAGAAGCAAATCAGTCGGTAAATAAAACAATACTATTTTTTATTAAAATTAATTTATTAATTATACAAATATGTGGTTTTATATTCAATATTTATATCTAATAATTAATTATATACCACATGTTAACTTTAAAGTTCTTCCAATCATTCTAAATTATTCTAAATAATAAATAACTAGAACTAAAATATAAATAAAGGATATTATAGGTATAAATAAATCTAAAGTATTTACTATTAAAATTAACATAAGATTTAGAAAAATAGGATAGGAAAAAAAGAAAAGATTTAATTGTTTCTAATTTCACATTTCAAATATTTGATTAATTAATACTAAAACAACATGTGAATGCTGGAATCGATCCGGTGGCACTTTACTTGACCACTGGAGGCGATAACCATTGCGCCAAGCGCGCCGTAGATGAGAACATCGAAATATTGTATATCATTCAGTAACATAAAAATACAATGAGAATGCACTATATTTATATAAGTATTGTATTGCTCGATCGTTCATTATTTTTGATTTCGATTTATTCAAAGTTTGTTATGAGTATTTTTATCTTTACCCTCGTTTTTATTTAAACTTATTTACTAAAATATTACGTATACCGACACAAAAATGATATGTAATACCAAGATGTGTGTGATAGAACGAATGTTTCTATACATATCTATTAATATGAAATTACCCACACATGTTCACTGTGTAAATGATAGTAATGTCGATGTGTAGCGCCTCGAACTAATTAGCGGTGCTTTGTGTACACAAATTAAATAAACGAAACTAAAAAGTGCCTAAAACCTTTGCTTTTCTATATCGATCTACTTTCTTAAAACTATTCTCAGAGAAAATTTGGACGATAGAGGATGTTCTCATAAGGCACGGTCCACTTCCCAAACCATAGTTAACATGTTCGTCAATTAGCATAATGATTACGAAACAATGCACTCGTGGTACCAACTCAATTAGTACTGGTTGTACACTTTCCATGCGAATAGGACACACTCGTTTACTCGTAACAAAAGAATACGTACTCATCTGTATGGACGAGACATGTCGGAAGCGTTATTTAACCATCGGTAAAAAGTAATTAGTTTTAGTCCATACTTAACGTTTCTACATGTGTTAGGACTTCTCAATGAAATACTATTCTGTTAGTCTAGATTTTCGACGTATTTCTCATTATAGGTAATTAAATTCTTACCTTGTCAACCTCCGAGATTCTCAATATAATTTTCAGCCGGGGGTTGCTTTTCTTGTATTCCTTCAGCAAAGCGTCGAGTTTATCTCCTCTCGCGTCGCCCGCGTAAACGAGATGTGTGCACTCGGAAAATCCGTCGGTCGCGCGCGCGCTTTCCACATAACAGACAAGGCGGGCGGCGCCGGCGCCTGCGCTCTCGACGCCCGACAGCACCGCAGCCGCGGCGACAAAAACGAACCAAAGCCACATGATTTAAAAAATCAAACTGTCATTCCGAACGCGTCGTATTTTGAAAATTCGAATTATAAGTTTGGAAGCGCGTTGGTCGTATCGTTAGCAAAGTACGAGTGGCGGAGTAACGCAGGCCGGTCGCAGTCATAGGCGCCCCCGCCCTGCCGATGGTGGCCGGCGCAAGGTCGCGCGCTCACCGTCACCCGCGGGACGGCAGCTCACCAGCTCACTGCCGCCGCGCCGCGCTTACACAGAAATGCTGTTACATTTCATGCGTCACCGCTACCGCGCGGTATGCCGCCGTGTGTCACATTACTATGACTGATGAAGGTTCGAGTTAAAAGGCTGTCAGGATAATGAATAATTTTTCTCGTTACAGACCAGTCTCTGCACTGGTATTGCATAAAATTATTATTCTAGCAAAAAAAATAATGATTTTCAATTACTACGCACCTATTTGAAAAACAGTGATTGAGGACACTGACAGATAGATTTATTTAAATGTCTTATTATATAACATTAAAAAGAAAATTTTGTAAGCTCATTTTATTGAAAGTGTCTATTCTAGTTTATAACATGTGCTACTATCGAGAGCAGATTAGTCAGGAACTCTCACTATCAAAACTATCAATTATGTACAACCGCACCCACTAACAAATTATTACTACATTAGACTATAGACTAGACCTACGTCTAGCTCAAACATAGCATACTTTCAAAATGTCCAATATTTGGTACACTCTCAGTTAAGAAAGCTTTTGAAGTATTCCCGACCTGGAAAAGAACTTGGACTACCTACCTATATTGGTATAATAAATATTACATTGGTACCTATTATATATACATTACCTACATGCCTACTGCTATAGGTACCTACATTGGTAATAGTAATAATAGAAAAACACTGAAAAGTTAAAATTTTTCCTGTACCTGCACGAAATTGTTACTATAATAAATACCAATACGAAACTTAGGCAAAGTTAACATCCGTTGTAGTGGAATGACTATACAGTATAACCACTTACTTTAGAACATAGGAAACGTAGTTTCAACTGGTTTTAAGTTTTGTTTTATGGGGTAAATGAACAAACGGATCACCTAATGGTAAGCAATCGTCACCTGAGGGTAAACAGGCGTCTATGGACACCCGGAACGCTAGTTCCGGGACGTTCCAAGGACGCCGATTGCGTTACAAGAGTGTTACCTTTTGGGGATTATGAATTTGAGGATTGGTAGGGATTCAGAGATTAGGGAGTTTGGGAAGGGGGGTAATTGGACCTCCGGTAACCTTACTCACACGACGATACACAACGCAAGCGTTGCTTCACGTCGGTTTTCTGTGAGGCCGTGGTATCACTCCGGTTGAGCCGGCCCATTCGTGCCGAAGCATGGCACTCCCACACTGCACACATCTAACACTAACATCCTCACCTTGACCAAAACAAATGGGGAATGATACATCAGAGTGATATACGGCAACAAAATTTAATTACAGACATTAATTACCTCTACTATAGTTTTACGGAAAACCGACTGTGTATCTGTCTATGTATCTATTGTATATAGGTACGTACGTGTCTCATTTCCTTATAACTTGGGAATATTGTCCGATTTTCTTACGAAGGTACATCTATCCATTGTTTAGCTTTGGTACTTAATGCTACTAGGAGTACTTGTACGCATATCGCACGCAAGATCTGACCTAACACGATGTTATTGTTTTCGTATGATGCTATTTATTTATATTTTAATTATCTAGGGACTGCTTTGTTAGTTGATGTATGTAAGAATCTTAGCAATTGGCGTTCCATAGTCTCTGCCTACCCCCCATGGAAGACTTTTTTTAAGGGGGGAAAATCATGGAATGACTTCTCCCGCCTGGGTGAGGAGTGTCAGACTCTTACTGACTAAAAACCACCCCGTTGCTACTCCTGCACTTCGAGCCGGAGCCCCGGTAAACCGTTAGGTTCTCCGCGACACCCCCATGGGAGACTAGCGTAAGGTTATGTATGCTTTGTTAGGTAGGTGATGGAAAATTCGAAGATGGTGCAAGGGGTCTTGAGTGTGCATACTGGTTCAGAGAGGTATATAGGTATCAGGGGGTATGGCATTGCCACCGTCAAGTCGAGCGCGAATCAAACACTGTCGTATCATCCTTTACTGGAACAATTTCGCCGGATTTTCAGCAAATAGGGATTTGAGAACATCTGGATAATGCCACTTTCAGCATCCAGTAAGCTATAACCACATATATACTTGAAATCCAAAATTTCGAGTCTGTAAGGTTAGGTTAAGTTAGAGCTAGTCAGAAGTCACACAACATTAAATATTTATAATAATAAAAAAATCACAGTAAGGAATTTGGAGTCTACCTATCGTCCCTTCGTAGATTATAAGGTAGTAAGTTATAATGTTAGTTGTATTATTTATTATTATTCCATTTTAAAAACATTTATTACGTTTTATTTACGTTAACGAACATTATTAAGAAACTTTATATGATCTTTTCGTTAATCATTTCGTGAGCAATATGAACTAGTCTAGATTAAAATTACTTTTGATTAATAAATCGAATATTACACAGGATATCATAAAAAGCTCGTTAGTTTACTTCAATTTATCTGCGCACATTAAACTTGTACCAAGGTACAGTATACAGGTGTGTAATAAAATGTTATAGACTTTAAGTTATAACTATTAGATTATTCACTATTATTGTACATTTAATCCACTTCGAATCACTCAATATACCTACAATAGTTTTTAAATACAGCTTCAATATTCTAAGCATAGACTAATGAATCTTTTGACAATAGTCCTAGGGATTTTTTTTTTTTTTTAACGGGGGAAAATCATCGAATGACTGCCCCCGCCTGGGTGAGGCGGGAGGGAGTGTCAGACTCTTACTGACTAAAAACCACCCCGTTCCTTCTCCTGCACGTCGAGCCGGAGCCCCGGTTACCCGTTAGGTTCTCCGCGACCTAGGGATATGTCTTGTTCAAAAAAATGTATGTATTTTTATCTCTAAATCTCTCCGTGTGAGTAGAGGCTTTGCTCAGGAGTAGGTATTTATAGGCCGTTGATGTGATGATATCTAAAATCTGTTTAAAATATTGAACGAAAATACTGATTATTTCTGCTGGTGATCAAACTCGGTAGTTCATGTTTCTCTCTCACGTGGGCAAACACTTGATCGGTGTTTTTATGTGAAAATATATTGTCATTGTTAGTAAACACTTTCTAAATAACTATAACAGTACGTAACATATAACGTGCGTGACACTTCTTTAGTAGGTTCTTATCGATTATCATAATCTCATGAAAAATTCCAAAAAAACAATTTATGCTGCGTCATTGTTATTACTATAATTACTGAACCACTTTTCTTCTACGTACCTACAAAAACTTTTAAAAATATTTTAGATATATGTGAAAACAATCTTCATTAACTTGATGTAGCTTTTCTATCACACCACTTTAGATAGGTCCTCCCTATAAATAATAATAACTTCAAATATTAACAAACTTTTTAATCCAAAACTTTTTATTACTCAACGAACAATAGACAACACTGAATAAAAAAAATACAATTTTTTAAAAAAGGAACTATAAACAATATCGTTCAGTTCCGTGCTGATGTTGATCATATCATGTAACCGTGACATTAGCTGACGCGGCCAATAAGTACCGCAATAATGTTCACAATACTTCAGATACCTCAACAGCTACAACTATTAAGTCACCATGTGGTCTAAATACTTATAAAAACAACAGGATATTAGTATTTAAAAGTATGTCTGTGATCTCACCGCCTTGAATACGCTTAGTCAGTTTCTTCTTTATGAACTGAACGCTTTAATTTTTTAACTAAAGCCACGTCAATCGCTCAATGAGGTTGTATTCTCGAAACAAAGAATTCGAACTCTCAAACCTTTATAGCAACTAGAACTCTGGAAAATAATACGCAAAAGAAAAATTAAAATGAGATTAACAATACATACAAAATTATTTTGATTCTGTTACACATATTTTGGTCACCAAGCTTGACTTTTCATGTCGCGGAGAACCTAACGGGTAACCGGGGCTCCGGCTCGACGTGCAGGAGAAGGAACGGGGTGGTTTTTAGTCAGTAAGACTCTGACACTCCCTCCCGCCTCACCCGGGCGGGAGCAGTCATTCGATGATTTTCCCCCCTTAAAAAAAAGCTTGTATTTTCATAAGTTTAATCAAGTTTCAAGAAGGCACAAAAGTCTCTGACAAAATCGCGATCAAGTATTTCAAACCAGCCTCTTTAAATTCAGCACTGGTATCGAAATACTTTTATTACAAGACATTATTACCAATATTAAAGCAATAAAAGTCTCACTTGGACCAACTGTGAAATAAATAAGTATGGAAACCACATACAGATGTGTAATACAACTTACGAGTATTGGATTTTGGCTGTCTGCCATGTGGATTTTCTGCAATAAAAACACAACATTAGGTTATTTGAGGATAAAACTTAGAACAATGTCTATGAGATCTAGTTCTCAAAAATTGGCACTAACATTGCTTTAATTACATGGGACTCATAACATAAATAGTGAAATCTGGGTGCACTTCTGTGTGCACCTCTGCCTACCCCTTCGGGGATAAAAGGCGTGATATTATGTTATATACTTAATATTGCTGTAAATCGTGTTTTGTATTATATGTGCTCTGATGAAAGCTCAACACCTTAAGGCTCAATCATTATCATCAAGACCGAATATAAGAGTCATTGTGAATTATCGGTTAATAATGGATTATTCAATATTACTCGTGTATGTAAACAAAACAGCTGAAAACCGATGACACAGCACAATATGTACCTATCTACAAACGACCTATATCTACCCAAATGAAATGGCTTAACCTAAAACTGTCCGGTCAAGATGATACGGATTTATATTACTGCTATCTATAACGAAAACATTAAATGACGTGGAAACAGAGGCCTTAGTACGAATTTGATTTACGTTCAAAGTAATCGAAACGAGACGGTGTTCGGTGCTCTGATTGGTTTGTTCATTGGAGCCGGCCAATCAGCGCCGAACGCGTACTTGTTACGATTACTTTAAACGAAAAAGAAACTCGTACTAAGGCCTCTGATTGGCCGGCTCAAATGAACCAACCAATCAGAGCGCCGAACGCGTACTCGTTTCGAATACTTTAAACGTAAAACAAACTCTTACTAAGGCCTCAGAGCCGTATATTATCCCTACTAAAGTGAACTAGGCAAGTGCGTAGGGCGCTTAGTTACAGAGGTGCGCCGCGAGACGGACACAGACCCAATTGGATACTTTCCTTAATAAAAAATATGTACATTATTTCGACTGTTCAACACAATAAAATATTAAAAATTAATCCCACTTTCATTAATTGATTTTATGACCGACTTAACTTTAGGTAGTATTTTTCCAGCAAATTTTTAAGAAATAAGTAAAAACGTGACGTCACAATTCACAATCTAACAATAAAAGTATTGAATTTGACTAGTTGTCAAATACCGTATCATGGGTACTAACAAACTAAGTAGTCAAATTCAATACTTTTAACGAACTGCCAAAAACTACAGTTTTTTATTTATTTTGTACGAGATTGTGTATTGTGACGTCACATTTTTTAGCGTCAAACAGCATACTTGCATCTTAAAAATTCACTGGAAATATACTAAATTTAAGTTGGTCATAAAATCAATTAATGAACGTGTGATTGCTTTTTAATATTTTATTGTATTGAACAGTTGAAATAGTTAATTATTGATTAAGGAAAATACCCAATAGTTCGTGGTCACTAGCACTACCGCCTGATTTACTGTCCCGATGTCCCGTGGCGATAGCGCCGAAAAAATTAGGGTCGCCATATAGGTTTAATACGACTCTGCATGGGTGTCCTTACTTTTAATACTAAATAAACATTAATTTGCAATAACAACATGCCTAATTAATTGTTGACCACTCAGCACGAGACCATGATTGAGTAAATCCACATAACATTCAAGTAAGCCGGAACATCCGCAATCAAATGATCTACTCAAATATTTGATCCATCGTTTAAAATAATAATAATCAGTTCAGCACTACTTCATTAAATTATGGCAAATATAATTTAGGCTAATAAATATTAACCGAGAATTATGGAAAGCTATCCTCATGCGACACACAAAATGATGTATGTATTAACGCAAGACATCTCTGATTATAAACAAGGATGTTAGGGAGCTCCGTAATCGTAACCGAAACTATCGGATATCCGATGTAAAAAAATATTCATAACCGTAACCGAATCTGAAATAAAAGTTTCGAATACTGTCGGATAGGGGCGTGACGTATAAATGAAACCATTATATCAGCCATTTGTATACTTCTGAAATTCCTTATTTTAATATCTGTAACCGAAATTATCAGAAATTAACGGATAATCCGAAATAATTTCATATCCATATACGTATTCAGCATAATAATCATTTCTATATCCGTATCCAATACGTGTCCGAAATTTCATTTCCATAACATCCCTGATTACGAAGAGAAAGAAGTATCATTAAAGTTACGACACTTACGACCAAACAATATTATAAAGAAAAAAAAATTCTTTATGCTTTACCGCGCCGTCAAAAATTATTTTTTTACATTTTAACATCACAGAAATCTGTTTAATTAATATTAAACAATTACGAGACACGAGTTCTAATTTCAAAATACTTAAACTAATTAGCAAAATATATCAATTTTTACTCTTTACTTTCGTCACGTCATGCCCGCAGGGCCCAATGGCACAGTGGTACAATTATATAACATGCAACACTCAGTCAGTACAAAGAAACCAAGACACGTAGACTGAGGGCAGACTGACCAGCTCAGCGACAGTTGGTAACCTAAATAAATTGTAACATCGTAAATTGTAGCTGTATACTGTATGCAAGGTAATCCCCTGAATAATGATGTTTCTTTCACAAATACCTTTAAATCATTAGCTGTTGGCGCAATGGCGTGTGCCGTTTTTTGTAAAAAAAAAAGTATACGTTCATAGGTACCTACATATATTTTCACTTTCTTATCTGTGTACTGTAAAGGAATAATTAAGTCTTCATTGTAAAATCCACCAGCTTAGGGCATATAATTTCAAAGGTTTTTACAGAAGCATCATAAACCATGATCATAATGATTGGAAAATAAAGACATACACATAGTGTTAAATATTAATTACAATTTGACCAATCATATTATATGTATTACAGGGTTTTTAAAAAAAAATCTCAGCGGTAGCACGGAGTCTGGAATTGTGCCCGGTATATGGCAATAGGCTGACCCCCTATTGCGTGGGAATCATAACATAAATAGTGAAAAGTGGGTGTTACTTCAGTGTGCACCTCTGCCTACCCCTTCGGGGATAATAGGCGTGATGTTATGTTATGTAATTTGACTAATCACCTTTGCTTTGACTAGTTTCAACTACGTCAGGAGCCCATAGTTATAAGGAGCACATGCCAGTAAGCCCTGTATATTTATCATGTAAAGTAAATAATAAATATGTATGTAAACTCATTTATCTATATATTCGTTTGTTTGTTGATTAACACGATTAAATGTTAAAGTGCCGGTCATCTTTGCCACCTAGTCAAAATCTAATATAAAAATATATTTCAATAAGTAAATGCTAAATATATATCTTATAAACTCGTACACAATGATTACATTGAAGCTCGAAACTTATCGGGCGAGCACGAAACGTGTCGTATAACTTGATAAGAACACACAGTGGTGGCATGTGATAATATAATAGATATTGCTCTGGAAACAGATATGAAACATCATTGTAGACTGTGATTTTACATACAAAATATTCAACCAATTATAAAAACCATAGTAATACATATAAAATGTTTAGTTTGGTGCCTATAGCTATGTGCGATGTGTAAAACCAATATATAAGTTACTAGTTTCATTGATACGACACAATCTAGCGCGGAATCTTATCGCAATGACAACGCATGTATGCGAATTATCTCGATATATTATACGAAACCAAATATTATATTCGACACTACAGTTTTTAGACAAGAACAAAAATGTCGTTCTCAGGCAAGAAATTCAGAAGAGTGCGATCAGAAAATATTGAAGAAATAGTTAAAGCTACCAGTGAGTGCCTTTATTCATGTGTTTATTAGTTTGTTTATATTATATAGTAATGATATATATTGCGTTTTATATTATGTTTGTGTTATATTCGTTAGTGCTCGATCGCCGGTTTTGTTCACTGTTTCTTGATTCTTTGACAGTCATGGTGATTGCGATATTTCTGTGAAATGGACTTTGATCGGTTTATTTTTGTATAAACATTTTAGTAAATATGGAGGTATGAATTACTATTATAGTAGCTTTGGTCATTTCTGTGATGATTTTTTTGGCTTAAAACAATAGAAATAAGTGAAGTCTAAAAATGAAATATTATCAATGTTTATGTACAGACCTACCTCAAAATATGATTATTGTGATGATAATGACTGCTGTACAGTTAGGTTATATAAATTTTGTATAAATGTAAATAGCAATTACTATGGGTTCCTTAGTAAGTAGTTATGTCAACGATTCATAAAATAATCTACCTAGTTAGGTGCCACAAGTCGCTAACAAAACAGTATATATCCTTATACCGATTTAAAAAAAAAAGCATAAGAATTGTAGAAATCTGGGTAAACACCTCTAGTACTGACTGCAACTGGCTGCTCTGCATCGTATCACGGGATCGATTTTTGCACGGAACAACTCTTTGGTTATCCACAAATTGTTGTTCTCAGTCTTGGTTTGAAGTGTATGTAATATTGAATGCACAACACACGAGAGAATCCTATGGTAGGGAAACGGTTTTATAAGAAAAGGGAAAAAACAGTACCGTAGTATTGTGAATAACTAATCCATGGAAGTCATTTGAGTTTTTCTTGTCTTATCAAATATCTTGTTTCAATGAACCTCCTCATATTTATCTTTTGAAAAGAGCAGCAGGCTGGTAGTTTATATCTTATCCACTCACCTCCTATCTAAATTTTTTTAGACAGAATCGTCGAAAAGTGGAAAATTACAAAAAAAAAATAGCTTTGTTCAAAAAACTACGTTTGTTGTTATCGTAATGCTAAAGTTTTGGCAATGCTTATATTGAACCTACTCAGATAATTTACTATTTGTATTTGCATTAAAGAAATTTGAATCAACCACGCCAATCACCAATGATGTCCGTATAGAATTTATCGACTTTCAAAAATTATCAATATTTAAATTAGCACGAAATCCAGATCCAGATTCGGGGTAGGTATAGCAATGGGTCCTGGTAAAACTAAATTGAAAACCCAGTCACGCACCCCACCTACTTCACAATTCTTCGTGTGTTTCGTGCGATGTTATTTCTTGTCAAACCTTTATTGAATGATTTCATTTATCTATGAATCATATAGGCCTTTCCTAACCTACTCACATTTAGGTTCTATACCTATTGATATATATGTTTCCAAGAAAAGAGAGCAATTTTCCTTCTCATTACCATTTAAACACGTTAGCATCAATTGTATAGTTAGTCAGCATTTAGCTTTAACCTTCAATATTTACGTTATATATTTATTTTCCTATGGATCACGTAGGCATACTATGTGCGTATACAGAACGCGATGCGTCAGCAATTTTATGGTTTGACCACCATGTGCGGTTTGGAAGATTATATTGTTGCTATTATCGTGTTTTAATTGTGATAAGAATGCATTATAAAGGCTAAAAGTGCCGTGTGGTGATATTAGATAGAATAATTTGTCGCCACTCGTGGTCTTCTTGTGGGTTTATAGACCCGAATTAGGCACCTCACCTGACAAACTTGAACCTTTTGATCTGCCAACTCCAGCCCATCTGCAAAGCATAGAGATTATGGCCAACCCTTTAAAATCTATAAGGTACTTTTAATGTCTTTTAGAAACGTATACTTAATAGATAAACATTCCGTGTAAATCCATATATATACACACACTGCCGGCGAGCACTCGCAAGAGCAACTAAAGCCTTGTTCACACTGCGCTAATATTTTGGTCGAGTAGCGAGTATTTAGTAGCCTTCTCTCGCTCCTGTCCCAAAATCGAAGCGACTAAAATACTAGCGCAGTGCAAACAAGACTATCGGAACTATACGCACTCGCAAATAGCTTCACTAGAGGTCTGACTTACAGACTGAAATTTTTTTATTATTTAATATTTAAAAATTTTGTTTTGACGTTCAAAAGTGCCTTCCTGGTCTAATTGAAATAAATGATTTTGACTTTGACTTTGACTTCGCTCCCCACCGGTGACCAACTCGTTTCCAATTCTAGCTCTACTCGTTACTTGTCCATCATTGCTGGTGAGACAACCACCTAAGTTTGTTAATAACAATCAGACGCTTTTCAATGATCATTCTTAAACTGCATGACGCTCTTACATATTTGGAAACGCAAGAATGTTTGTTTGGTATCATCATATTTGACGTGATAGGTAGTAGACAAACATTTCATTCAACAAAAATGTAATATTCATGAACCAAATACAAAATATTCGCTTAGAACTGGTTTAAATCGAGTCAGGATGACTTGCTATCAGAATATCAACGTGCGTACTGTTGGTATTATTGATTTTATTTTCACGTCACGCGGAAACTGCACCAAATCTTTAAAAATACGATAGCAAATATTAAGTACCTATAGCTTTAGCTAAAAATATTACTCCTTATCTTCGTTTTATTACATGTTTTATTAAATAATTGATAAGTAATTGAATATAGGTAATAAAAAATCATGTATGAAGTGTGTGTAGGGCGGGAATGTACCTAATATAAGCTGTAATGCGAAAAAGTTTTTTTATGGCAAAAGCCGGTAAACGAGCAGACGGATCATCTGGTAGAAATAAATCGGTGTCAGATAGATAGATAGATAGATATAAGCAACACAAGAGGATTTACAATCGTGTTCCCCACCTTTTGGAAACTCTGCTGACTTATGCCATCTAACCGGACTATTAGCCAAACTTTTCATTTGACATAAACACCAGAATGAATTGTTTTAAAAGAGCCCATTTCAATAACAATATTATTCTCTCCCCAGGCACAGATGAAAGAGTAATACATATGTTGACAAGCAACGCACCAATCTTCTCCTTCACTCGTATCGATGAGGACCACTTCAACTTCACACTGCAGATGAGCAACAGAACCATGACACATGACTTCAAGCTGGGAGAGGAACATGAAATGGAGAGGCGAGATGGCTCCAAGGTAATCCGGTGAAGTGTTCTTTTTCCCATATAAACAATAATAATTTATACAAAATATACAATTTTACAAACTGCTAAGGAAAATACTTTATATTGTTCTCGAGGTCGTCGAAAACTACAGTTGTTATATTTTCTACTTAACCTTACATTCTTACGTGTTGTGTTCATATTTATATATTTTTCCTTTTGTGTTTTCTAGGTTAGACTAACATATACGTTAGAAGGTGACAACGTTTTAAAACAAGTCATCATACCGAAAGATGGAAGAGTAGCGTACTTCAGGCGAGATTTTGGAGAAAAAGAAGCTAAAATGGTAAGATTAATTTAAAAAAGTAACGAAAGAATAAACGTATAAAAACCGAACTCATTTATAAAAATACTAACGCATAAAGCCTACAAGGTACCAAATACATTGGTGAATAAAAAAAGTACTGGCTGTTTTGTTCAAAAAAACAAACAGGAAAATGTCATTAAATTATTCTTTTTAATTTTTTTTCTTTTTTCTCGCACCAAATGGTATTTACACAATTTTTCATATAAACCAGCCAGTATTGAAATAATTAATTGCATTTTATTGCAAACTGCTTTTTTATTAACTTCGTAAGAGAGACTGTCAAATTATGATAAGAAAAATAAAGTTAAGTTTTTGAATATAATTTTTCTCTCTATATTGATAAGTTAACATATTTAAAGATTTTATTTAATTTTAAAAATGAATAATACTATGACTGTCCTATGTACCTATGTATAAATATTAAATAACTGAAGATATTATATACGATAGGAAAGTTATCTTAGTTAGTTATAGTCCATAACGGTACCAATTAGAACAGCATAACTTAAGTAACTGACTGTACCAAAATGCAAACGAATCAGTCAACGAATCAAGATTACGTATATTCATAATAACAAATAATTGCTACACTTACACGGATATCCGGACAACAATATTGCCACCTACTTAGATAGACTAGATTTGCATATTATGTATGATACATGACAATTGGTAAAAAGAATACTTCAATAAGTAGGTATATGTCGCAATGCGTTGTGAAATTTCAGTTACGTTCACAATATACATTACCTTTCACAATAGCAACTAAAAAGTCGATACTAAATAATAATTTTAGAGAGAAGTCTAATTTAATCAGACTAACTATTCCCGCTACGAAGTGTTACGAACTTCGTAGTCCATTTTTTTGACTGGAGGAATTCATCCAATGATTACTCCCGCCTTTTTTTTTTAAGGGGGGAAAATCATCGAATGACTGCTCCCGCCTGGGTGAGGCGGAAGGGAATGTCAGACTCTTACTGACTAAAAACCACCCCGTTCCTTCTCCTGCACGTCGAGCCGGAGCCCCGGTTACCCGTTAGGTTCTCCGCGACTCCAAATCGGCAACAGCCCTATTGGGCCCCATCTGTGGTGGTCTGATGGCTCTTTGAGGCGCGCCCCTCCCGCCATTATTTGGGACCCACCCGAAGGTGGCGCGTTCCCGCGGCCATAAAAACACATGGCCTCGGACTTGTGGAGCGCCACCTCAAGTCCCAACTGCCGGATTTTTTCAACGACTGTCGCAACCGCTGTCGCCATTAAATCGGCCGCCGCCATTGCTCCCGCCTTGAGTTAGTTAGTGGCAGACACTTACTGACTAAAAACCTCCCCGTTCCTACTTTTGCTTCAAACCAGAGCCCCGGAACCCGCGGCTCTGAGGCTGTACTTATCCTACTTTCATTGGCGTATTAATGAAAAAATAATACGAAACCAAATATCATTAGTATCCAGAACATTCTTACATACATCTAACGACTTAAATTAACACTTCCTTGTTCATATGATACATACCTATTCATCAAAAAACATAGGTCTACATTTCATTAATCGATTTTTTTTTTGTTTTCAGACAATCACAATGGAAGGCACAGATATAAAAGCGACAGTATACTATGAACAGGTTGAATAACATTTACGACAGCCTCGTGTAATATAATTCTACATCTCTACACATATTACTATATAATAAGGACATTTGTTAAACAAAAAACGAAAAAAAGTATGGATATTTTGACTGCCACTGACTGGTACGTATGTATGGATGGATAACTCAAAAAAAAAAATGTTTTAAATTTGGAATTCCTTATTATGTATATAGCAATACGGAATAAAAATATGTATATCTTAAAATATAAGGCCTTAAAATAAATATAAGTTGCATTACCTACTTGTTTGTTTGTTTGTTTATTTTACAGTATCTTTTATAGCTCATATTTCCATCCAAAAATCAACTAGATGCTCAAAATTACCACGAATCACTTACGTTTAATCCGAAAGGGGCGTTTGTGTTAATAATATAAGTTATGGTGACACTAAAAATATCATTACAGAGGTACATTCAACCTTTTCAAACAACCTGACCAAATGTTATTCTGAGCGAAAGTTAGAAAAAAAACCGCGTTTGAGTCGCAAGAGTTTATTTTTTATAAAAACGTTATAATTATACACACTTTAACGTCCTAGACCACACTTACAGTCGCGCGGTTGCCCTAGGGACGAGTTATGTTGGCACAGTCTAGATCAGGAATTTGGGCTGAAAACCAACAATCAAAAAAGCTAGATCCTATTATAGCAGCAACTGAATGTAGACCATTTTAAGGATCTAGATCCTTTACCACAGATTTATTGCCCTGTTTACCTCATTTTCGCTGCAAAGGGGTTAAAAATAAACCACATAATATCAAGTGTTTGATCATAATCACACTACAGAGCCATAAGTCACACAGCCCGAGGTACTATATCACAAATACGAGTGAATTTACATAATTACTTCACACCTGAGCTTATTCGCCACGCCCACCGCTATTGTTTAAAATAGATACGACACATGTAGTCTGGGAATGTGTAACATACAACTGAATTATAGACTATATTATAGTTACTGTATTTTGCATTGAAAGTGATTGGACTCTTTGGTAAAATTGGCCAGTTAATAACACATACTCACGTACGAAGTTCGCTTCATCCTTCCAGTAAATGTTTTGTCGAGGCAGTTAATTTAAGAACATTTAGGTATATTTAGATGTTTATTTTATTTCAGCTATCAAATCTTAAGTAACACAAAACTCAAATTAATCATGATCATCGTGGTGGTATCTCCATATACCAATAAGGCCTTTAAAAACGGAAAGTAAATGCTTGAACAGTTACAAAATAAAAAAAGTGGTTTAAGAGAAAAAAAGGGTTCATTCCTCATGTCACACTGACTTTAGTTTAATCCATTTAACAATGGAAAAAATACCAGAGCTAAAGAAAAAAACACAAGCCGAAAGGCGTCCACTGCCCAACAGAGGCCACCCTACCACAAGTGGAGGCACAGGGAAATCGTCATCTGAAAACAAACAGCATCACTGCATCACTCCCTAATGCAGTGATGTTGCTCGTTCGTTGGTGTCTGTTTTAATGTATATACATACGTACCGAGTCTCAATTATTTTATAGTATTAACCCATAATAAAGAAACAATTGGTCGTGTACAGATCACACGCGGCTAAATCGAATTGAAGTATGTGGGTCAGCTGCGTTGCCTTTTGCGGGCTCTGCGATGTAAGCCTTAATGAACGCATGCCGCGCCCCGGGCACTATCAACCGTGTAGGGCTGCCAATAACAAAGTTGAAAGAAAAAGCTTAGTGGAAAGATAACGTAAACTAAATATAAGAGTATCCTGATGTATTATCCTAATTCCCATTTACACTTCAAGTATTTTATGTAATTTTCAATTTTATTTCGTACGTTACCTGCTAAACGAAATAGGCATTGTTTAGTTTAGACACCTCTTCTTAATTTAATTTATTCTTAATAAATGTAACTGCAACTGTAACATGAAAGTAAAACAAAGAAAAAGTCGTACGAGAAAGGTATTTCAACAATCTATAAGGTTTTGTCAGTAAACGTACCTCCTTAGATTTTAAATAAAATGCTTGTATGTCTGTAAACGCACCCACGACACAGGAGAAAATCCTAGTGTGGGGCAACGTTTTAAAATAAAAAAAAAATAAAGCTTTCAATGATGTCAACCCTACAGCAGTAACGAGTACAAAACTAGTAGGTATAACGCGCGTACTCATAATCATGGCATTAACCTTATCGGACAATGACAAACCTACGGTTCAACTATTTAAGTAGCCACACGACTTGCTAAACGTAACCGCATTAACTGTTAGATAACCATCAGCCTTTATATGCAAGGCAAAGTCATTTCTTATAAAACAAAAGAAAGTTACACTGACAATCAAACGTTTAAATCCCTTTTAGAGTCGGTCGGGGTTAACTTGACTAATTTTAAGCCATGCTAGAGGCTCATATTCATGAGCAGCATTTCGCATTTGGCTACTAGAAACTAGTCGAGTTCCTCGTCAAATTATTACGTGAGTAAGCTGAAAACATAATAATTTATTTAGTATACCTAATAGTTTAGTAAGTATGTCTCACGAAAGTTACAATACAAATTCTAACTATATAATTCAGATGCACTGTTTTAAACTCTCATACGTAGTCGAGATTATTTAACCATACCAAACTGTTCTTATACAGTACAAGAACTATTTACACGCTTATCGCTTAGCATAATAGATGGCGGTATTTTATACTTAATCACCATGTAGGTATACCAACGTTAACCCATACCTAAATTACATTTATTATTTACAAGTACGAGTAATATAAAATAGATTAAGTATCTACTTATTTAGAGCACACAGAACAGTTACGATAAAAGCTCTTGCAAAACGAGACAAATCCAGACACACGTGCAACAAAAGGGTACAACTCAATTTAACTCCAAACCATACACTATAATAAATACAGTCTAATTTCTAATCAACAGTCAGAAATCTTATATGTTAATTCCAATGGAGAACGTAGGTGTGGTAATTTTGACAACAAACTACAATTTACTAGCGACGTGTATTTTAACTTATGCAATACATTGCATGCACCCCATATGCAATTGCAATTTTAACGTTCTGCATGACACCTGTCCAGTTCGAACATGTTATAAGTACTATGTCGAAATACAGCCTGCACTGATAACGTATGTGTGCAATGGAAATGTAAACTAGATATGGCAGTAATGGAGTTATTGCCAAATGGAATTTGGAGTTATAAATCCACAATCTGTGCCGTAATGTTCGGTACTACTAACTACATATTATTATTATATTGTATGATTTAATTTTGCATATAAGTTTTCAGTAGACCCCCTACAGTAGGCAATAGAACCAACAACATAACGGAAAATTTAAATGATCTTAAAGCTGATTAGATTCGGTTTCTTAGAAGAAATTAAATCTTTAAGTAGTCATTTTATCCATTTATAGTAATCGCAAATAAAACTCTTTAAAGGATAAGGGAAAACCGCACTATGCAGACCACAAGTCCTTAGATGAGATCTCAACGTTTTTAAGCTAAGTGACATACGAATATCATTTTCTAAGCCAACACTACATACTACATAGAAGCACAGGAGAATAAATGTTGTATGGATAGTTCCATCAACCAAAATTGTAATCAATTAATACGGTAGGTGTCTTCTAAACGCAACCAATAATTATTAGCACCATTATATTTCAACATCTTCCGGCATGGCTCTCGAAAATAAATGGACGTACCTTAACCACGTCGTCTACTGTCGTAAAGAAAGCCAATTTCGTTTAGCCTGTTGTCACCAATCACATAACTAGGAGAAAGCTAAGCCCTTAAACGTACATACTTAGTTACTGCTTAAGTGAATTAACAATTGCATCAATGTCGCTCGTAGACGCAGTCATCGTAATCCGGATTACCGAGTTGACGACTTGCGTCACTACTGTTAGATACTGTTATGTCAAACATATGGTGAATAATGGAATCTTAGCTATTGAATTAACGTGTGTAGAAAACCAGGAACAGGACAGGTTGTTACAAGAATTGAGAAAATGTCTACGATCTTCTTAAACTACGATATTTAGAGTAAACTAATCAAAAATCATAACTTTTAAGAAACCAAAAAATCTAAGAATAACTATTAAATTAATGAATAATTTTGACAAGGCCAAATTAAGCAGGTAATAACTCTAATTGAGACATTTTAAAAGTATTAAATTCTAAGTTTGATGTAACAAACTTCATAACTTCACTAAAAAGGTTTACTTAATTTATTACTAACCCACAACAAGTCTTCTACTTCTACTTTCATTTCGTCAAGTTCTCATAAAATCAAACCTTGCTTATAAAATACTGAATTTGTGTCAAAGTCTAGACTAGCTTGGCATAAGGAAATCGATCAGAGGTCGAATTATTCAGAAAGCTGAAGTAACATTGACCATGGTTGTTGATTCAGAAACACTGCAATTACTGTCGACAAGTTCAGACTCTGCCAGCGGCAAGGGCAGCTCCTTGACCAGATTATTTATAGATACAGAAGACGAGATGAGCATGAGAAAACTACAAGCAGTTACGGAAATAAATATTTAGATGAAACCGGATTTGAAAGCATTAAATTAGCAGACACAAATGAAAGACTGTTTTAATTAAATTTTTCATTTGTACCGAAATAAAAAGGTTCCGAGTTTTTGAAATTGTGAAGGTACGTAAGAATGGAAGAAAAATCTCTTAGTGCCTTTCCGATTAAGTCCGATAAATCGATAGTACGTTAGAACATACCGATACCTATGTATGTACGTGTAAAAGCTAACGTACACAACACAAGAACATTACGTCAAATTCACATTTCATAACAAAGTGATGAATTTAAAAAAAACATTTCATACCAATTACGTCAAGGACCGCATGATATAGAATTATTCAGATTCCGATCTAGAACAAGCAATTAAACTGTCAAATACCAAGCGGTCACCGGTGACCGCAACCTATTGTTCTATAATTGTGTCTGCAAAACCGGTACTCGACGAGTTAATACAACATCGTACGAATTATCTTATCATTATTAATTGCTTTACTCACGTACCTAATGTCGAACGATTTTAAATTTACATATCTAAACAAATGTGAGCAATATCTTTATCTGATGCCTATGTATTAACCCTTTAACCGCCGACAACGTAATATTACGGTTTTCGAAAGCTGTGTCCGAATCGCCACATACGTACAATCACGTTATTTTATTAAAAATCTTCTTATAGTGCACAAACTCCATATAAAATG